GATTGCACCTCACCTATACGTTACACAGGAAACTCCTTCGCACCTGATTTTAAACACTTTTTTTAATAGGTTTTATAGAGACTTCTTGGTGCTTCATGGTTGACACCTTTCTTTCAAGTTTAACTAGAAAAGATTGCACCTCACCTATACGTTGCACGGGAAACTCCTTCGCACCTGATTGTAAACACTTTTTTTACTAGGTTTTATAGAGACTCCTTGGCGCTTCATGGTTGACACCTTTCTTTCAAGTTTAACTAGAAAAGATTGCACCTCACCTATACGTTATACAGGAAACTCCTTCGAACGTGATTTTAAACACTTTTTTTTACTAGATTTTATAGAGACTTCTTGGTGCCTCATGGTTGATATTCTTCTTGCAAGTTGTATAATAAAATCTAGTGGTTGGTTATGAGGTCAACCAGAATAAGATCATAAGGAAAATTATCTGAATGACCAATGCAGCGATCAAGTATCCCTATTAAACTTTGTAAGCCTAAGTGTGTATTTTCTCGGAACATGCTTACTTTCTTACTGTATATAGCTTGTATTTTTAGGCTTAACCTAATAGCTGGTGCTAATATAACATCAAGAATATTGAGTTTATTTATTTTTTATTATTAAGTTCTATAAGAAAATATCTTGAGCGCTTACATAATGATAAATTTGCATATTCTATTTTTAGCAGCTATGTATGTTTGTTCGAAGCTTTAATGTAGAAATATAGGTTTCAGAAAATATAAATGCACTTGGTTTCTCAAATATATATATATATATATATAAAACTTTATGATGAGCGTGACTGTCCAAACATTACCAATGTTGATAAATTGTGAGTTTCATAATAATAATGCCCCTCTGCGGACTTACAACGCTAGAATCCGGGTTTCGATAACCGTGGTGGGCAGAGCACAGACAGCCCATTGTGTAGCTTTGTGCTCAATTACAAACAATCAAACACACATAAAAATACTAGCACTGAGAAAAATTCACCAAACCCTGTCATTTGTTACTTAGACTTAAACATGTAAAACAGAATACGTTATTTGCTGTTAAAGCAGAAAATAAAGAATAAAAATTCAATTTGATTGCAATTCAAAAGGTTCCTATCCTGATAATGCAACTTGGAAAACTGACTTTGCTGTAGTTTAATCAAATCCAAACGAACAAGCTCACGATATCCAAAAGAAAAAAAGACAGTTCTCATTATAAAGGTTCTTTTTCGTTATTACTCTGTTGCTTAATTAGCTACACGAACACCAACATAGGCAGCTACCTCGTTAAGCATTACTTAATTAGCGCTGCCTCATTCTCCGTTGATCCATTTCAGAAGAGAACGATGGTTTCCATGGTTTCCGACGTACTTCTGTAATTCGGGGTGTTTGAATATTTAAATAATTTTGTATGTGTTAATTTATGTTTTTAATTCATAGTACTGAATACATAATTATGAAAGTGTTGTTTGGATATCCTGTGCCATCACACAAAAATTTACATAAGCTTCATAGAATAAAACATATACTTTTACTATTTACCAATTCGGATGTTCCTGTGGACCATGTAAAACTCTCCAGTGACAAGCTTCGTAGAGTAGAACATACATATTTTTACTGTTTATCAATCCGCATATTCCTGTAGATCATGTAAAAACTCTCCAATGACAAGCTTCGTAGAATAGAACATACATATTTTTACTGTTTATCAATCCGCATATTCCTGTAGATCATGTAAAAACTCTCCAATGACAAGCTTCGTAGAATAGAACATACATATTTTTACTGTTTATCAATCCGAATATTCCTGTGGGTCATGTAAAAACTCTCCAATTAGATCCAACAAATGTTCATTGTAACATTGTCCTGTAGTAAATAGTGTAACATTTCCTTTGCTTATACTTTAGCTTTCAGGATTTTTTCCCCCTCTAAGCAGTTTAACCGTTAGCTTAGCAGTAAATTTGAGTGTTTAGAACGCTAGAATCCACTCGCCGGACACAGAGCAAACAGCCACATATCAGAAGAAGGGAAGGTTTAGATTTTCCACAATCCTTTAAGACCTTCAGAGTAAATTGGAGTGTAGTATATTCATGACAAATAGACAAAAAAAAAAAATAAGAACGACTGAGATATTTCGTCATGTCAGGTTCGTTTGGGCCTCTTTTAAAACTACATCTACTACAGCTGTTTAAAACGTTAACCATTCTGGAAAATTTAGTGTATTATCAAAAACAGAACTTACCTCAATGTGGAGCACGTTTGACCAATAATTTTAGTGCTTTATGAGCACTTTTTAGTTTGTGTGCCACCAAAGTTGTATTATCGTCTGGCCTTTTTCTTCATATCATTTTTATACCTCATAGTTTTGGTTTTCAGTCGGTGTAAAAACGACACATGAAACACGTTTTTTGTGTTCATCACAAAATCGAAAAGAAAGAAAGTTAAAAGAAAATATTTTGTTTTTTTAATAAAGATAGCGGCAGCATTAGTGAAAGCTCTAAATATCCTTTAAATCATTATTATCATTATTATTAAGTCGGGTATTCAGACGTTTCAGTGATTGATGCTATTTAAGACTAACATGTTTACTGATATATAAATGTTTTTGTTCTGATTTTTTCCATTATTGAATATTGATGAGTGTCTCATCTGGGCATAACGTTCACGTTTTCTTTGGCGAATAATTTTTGTGAGCTGCTAAATTTGTTTGGCGGTTAGCTAGTAAAATTTAAATACCCCTATGATCGTAGGTCATAGGACTAGTATATGAATTCCTACGCATAATATTCATAGAGATTAGTTTGTTTCTGTTAAAGTATTTATAAGTTATAACATTTCAATGGATCACAAAAACATCTTTAATCATTGACGTTTCGAAATTTCTTCGAATTTGTTTTTGTTTGTTTGCAAATAAGCACAGAGCTACACAATGGACTATCTGTGCTCTGCCCACCACGTGTATCGAAACCCGGTTTCTAGCGCTGTAAGTCCGCAGACATACCGCTGTGCCACTGTGGGGGCTTCTTCGAATTCCATCATCGATGTTAAAAACCTTAAAAAGTTAATTCACAATACCTAATATTTTGTTGTTGTTTTTTGTGGTTAAAATATTGTGAACTAACATTTTAAGGTTGTTTGTTTGTTTGTTTGAAGTTAAGCACAAAGCTACACAATGGGCTATCTGTGCTCTGCCCACCACGTGTTTCGAAACCCGGTTTCTAGGGCTTTAAGTCCCCAGACAAACCGCTGTGCCCCTGGGGGGGGGGGGCTTCTTCGAATTCCATCATCGATGTTAAAAACCTTAACAAGTTAATTCACAAT